TGAGCAGGGAGCCTGATGTGGGGCTCAATCCCAGGACCCTGGGATCATACCTGAGCCAAAGGCACACACTTAATGGACTGACCCACCCAGGCACTGCCCCCCTTTTTAATGCTAGAAATTGGCATAAGCTGGAAATAAAACCAAGGTTAGGAAGAACCTGGATTGGTGAGCAGGCGGGGTATTCTGGGGAGTCTGCCATGCCTTGGGTACCCTTATTGCCATACAAAGCACACTTTTAGCCCCAAATTAACCAACTGCTGGCTGGCCAGCGACCACCTCGACTTAGGGTAATGAGTTCCATATGTTTCCATAAGAACCCAGCTAAGCTTTTCCCCAGCAGTTCTTAAAAAGTGTTCTCTCCCCTCCCCAGCTTCCAACTCATGCTTGGCCACCCTTGTTTCATTTGCTCCTAATGAGGGCAGGAGGGAGGAGGCTGTCAGGGTGGCACTGACAAGGAGGCAGTGCTTTAGGGAATCACCATCCCTGACTTCACATTTCCAGATCCTCAAGGTGCATGGGGGAGGGGGAGGGGGCGAGGATGGGGGGGGGGGATGTGCTACCAGCCCCTGGCAGTCCCTCTATAGGAGCTGTGTGAGGCCATAAGCCCCATCTCTAAAGTGGGAATAACAATCCCTGCTCAGGGTAAGCAGGTATCACAAAAGAGCCCTAGATAGGAAGGTAGAGGCTTAGATTCGAGTCCCGTCTTGACTATGAACTTTCTGTATATGCCTCAGCGGGCTCCTTCCCCTCTCTGGGCCACATTTGTGAACTTTAAGGGTCCTTCTGTCCCTGACAAGCTTTAGATTTATGAACAAATGGCAAAAGGTACAGAGAAGAACATCAACTTAGCTGTCAAACATGGGTGGCTCCAGGGTGGGGCTCGCAGGAAGCCCAAGGCCTCCCTACCATGGTCAGTGTTACTGCCCATCTGGGCTCCCTTCGACCGTGGTGTGGCCCACTGAGAGTTCTGCCTCCTACATCTAGCACAAAGTTGGAGTAGGGTGGTGGTGTTGAGGAGGAGAGGGAGTGTCCCCAAATGGAGAGTCAGTTATATAGCTTAGGTGGGGAAGAGGGGAGGCCCTGGTCAGCCCCCCAGCCATGGAGTAACATGAATCTGAGTTCAGAGGGCTACAGCACTCTCTTCCCTTGATCTGGCTTGTCAAAGATGACCCCCAAATCCTTGTCATAAATAACCTAGTACCCTGCTCTAGACCGTCCACTGACCCTACCCAAAGACTGACTCACTAACCTTGACCACTGATGCTACTCAGACTGACCCTCACACCATGTCTATTAACCCAGGCCACAGACTGCTGCCAGTTCCCATCCACGCTTAGCCCCAAACCCTGTCACCGTCTGGCTGAACCCCAACTCTGGCCACCTCCTCACCCTACTTTTAGACTGATTCCTGATTTTGGTCACTGGGAGATCCTTTGACCTTGCTACTGACTGACACTTAACAGGAGAAATAACCAGGGAACAATTAAATGCTAAATTTTGAGTGAAATAGGACATGAGAGAGGCGAGTGGGGCGGGCTGGGGGGAGACTGGGGCGGAGGGCAGAGGCTTCCCGGAGGACCCCAGCGGGCCTGGGGCCACACTCGGAAGGTCGGATTGGCCTTGTGCGGGGCATGTCGCAGGCGCTCGAGGAATGCGAGTTGCCTGAAAGAATGAAGGAAGGAAGGAACGGGGGTGCGAGGCAGGGCGGCCGCCCGGCCAGGGCAAAGCTGCTTAGGCAGGAAGCGGGGTGGGGGCACGCTGAGGCTGCATCGGCCCGAGCGCAGCTGGGGGCAGCGGGAGAGCAGTCGGGTCAGCGACTCCGCTGGGTGGAGGGGCCCTCCCAGGCTCGGAGGCTGGGAGGCTAGGAGGCTGGGAACTGGGAGGCCGCGCTGCTGGCAGAGTGGCGGGGGCGCCGCGAGGCTCCGGATGGGCTGGGAGCCCCGCCCGCAGGCTGCGGAGGGAGCCGGAGCCAGAGCGGAGCCAGAGCTCAGACATCCGGGCGCCAGCGAACACCTGCGAGCGGCCCCCAGGGCCCGCGGGGGGAGCGCGGGTCGCGAGGCCGGGGGAGGGGCGGGGGCGGGGCGGGGGCGGGGCGGGGCCGGCTCGCCTCCGCCCCGCCGGGCTTGGGCCACGTGGGCCGAGGCTCCGCCCCTGCCCGGGCCCTGAGCCGCGGCCGGTGGACAGGGGCGAGCTGCAGGAGACGGGAGCGGGCAGAGGGGAACCCGAGAAGCAGTTCTGCGGGAAAGAGAGAGCGATAGGAGGTTTTAGAGTGTAGCCTGGGGAATGGAGAAGAGTGGTGGCCATGAGAGGTGATGAGGCCGGGAGGACAGATAATTAAAGGTTGTCGGGCGCATCCACAGCTGGGGAGAGCTATAACTGGCCTCCTCAAAAGGGCACCATCTCCGGTGTCACGGGCCTGAATTTGAATCCCTGCTTTGTTACTTAGGAGCTGTGTGGCTATGGGCAAGTTCCTTCGCCCGTTCTGAGCCTGGCTGTCTTGTTTGTTTTATTTAAAAACTAAAAATCTCTTCCAAATGTCCATGTTTCAGAGCTGATGCGATAATGAACCTAAGACACCCAGCTAATAGTGAATCTTGTGTTTCAGGGAACCTGGGAGATGCTTTACATACGTTACCTTTAATCCGAGTCACAAACCAGCAAGGGAAGTACCATCACCCCCTTCACAGATGAGGGAGAGGGACTGGGGTGGCCCTGAGTCTTTCATTCGGCAAACACACACTGGGGACTAAACAAGTACCAGGTGCAGGGAATGGCGAGGGAGAAGAGCTGGCCTGGAGGAGAAGTGAGAATATGGGTTCTGAAGCTACATGGAGTTGGGTTTACTAATCCTTGCTGCGCCACTTCTCTGCGGTGTGACCTGCATCAAGTCATTCAGCCTCTCTGAATCTGTTTTTTCTGTAAAATGGGGATAATGTTACCCCCTTCGCTGGGTTGTGGTGAGGATTAGAAAAAATTAAGATAAAATAGAGCCTGGTACCTGGTAGCACTCGATAGGTGATTATGACAGAAGACACTATCCTCATTCTGAGAGTTTTCCGACCCACGGCCAAATTGCTTTCACTCTCTAATGACTAATGAATTGGCATGCTGGTTTCAGCTTTTGTCCCAGCCACCTGAACAGCTCAGTCTCAGCAGACCTGACAGGCAATTTCCTTGGAATTAGCTTAATAATACCTTGTAGGTGTGTGATGCATTTCAAAGAACTTTCCCACCATTATCTTCCGTCCAGGGAGACGGCAGTACACGAACTGCTAGCTGCTGGGCAAAGGAGGAGAGAGGCTCGGAGAGGTAAAGCGGCTTGCTCAAGGTCACACGGCAGATGAGCGATTTGGGTCTTTCCAGCCGTCCCCAGTCCCCCAGCTTCTGAGTGAACAGGAAGCAGCATGCTGTGGCAGAAACGGCAGAAGAGGAGTTCAATGTCTGCCATTAATGGTCAAAGGTAGGGCCAGGTGCCTCGGAGTGGATGGCTCAGGATCAGCAATCTTGCCTAGATGTGGAAACTGAGGGTCAAGCGGGGCAGTCTCTAGCTTGCCGTTGTACAGCTAGGATGTGGCAGAGCAAGAATTTGCACCCCTGTGTGGCGGTCCCCAGAGCCAGCACAGCACCCCTAACAAAACAAACCAAGGGAGACCCAACCTGGGTCTACTTGGTTGAGACAAGAGTTCCTCACATGGGGACTGAGGACTTCCCAGGGGACTGGAGGGCTGCTATGACTCTGCAAAGGGGGTGCGTGTGCGTATTTTCTGGAGTGCTCACACCTCCCACCAGATCATCAGAGGAAACCAGGAAACAGGTTGGGAACCACTGGTCAGCCGGTTGGCAAAGACAAGAGGTTGCCTCCCCACCACATGCCCCTGTTCACCCCTGAAAGCTCACCAGGGTTAAGGAATGAAGGGTGATGACGTGACCTGTTTGTTATGAAATATTGAAGTAACTCATGCCAGGGGCCAACACACAGATGAGATCATAGCATAAACAGGAATCTAGTGAGGCCGGGAGCCTGGTGGAGCCCACCTGGAGAGCTGTCAGGTGGGGGGCAAAGGGGGATGGTATGGGTTGGGGGTCTTGCCCTCTGCCCCACTCTCAGTAGCTCTGCTCCTGTCCACTGCAATTGTAATCACTGTAGTTAGTTTAAAATCCCATCTCTTTCTCTCAAGGGGCTGTGAGAACCTGGCTCAGACCCATTATCCACTGAGCCTCAGATTCTCCATTTCTGACATAGTGTTAGAGATGCTCACAGAGTAGACTCCCAGTGGAGGTGTTATGGGAAGGAAATACCAGAAGGAATGGGGGCTGTGGGGCTGCTTCTTCAAATTCCCAGTCTAGGCTCTGTCTTCAACTACCTGGTGGTAGGAGAGGGATTGGTACTAGTGTTCCCCAGCCAGCTCCCAAATCATTCTAAGAGTGGCTGGGGATTTGAGGGACAAGAAAAACCCCTCTCCTATTTTTTCCAAATTTGGAAGCCCAAGAGGAAGCCAAATCAGAGAGCAAGAGGAGGGAAATGAAACCAGGCCCTGATCTGCTTATTCATCTCTGAAATGGGTCTATCAACCACCAGCCGTCTGGGCACCAGGTGAGACTCCACTCTTCCACATCCCCTGCTAGAAAGACATCATGAATAATTAATGACACTGAAGCCATCTGGTAATGTAGCAAAACAGCTCAAGGGACTTAAGAAACTGGGACTCAGGAGACCTAAGTTCTATCCTGAGCTCCTAACTTGCTGGGTGAGTTCCCCTCACATCTTCCCTCATCTGTAAACGAGGGGACAGGGCCAGGATCTTCCCTGCACCCAACCCTTAATGGATACGGGGCTCCCATATGAGCCCTTTCCACTGCCCCCCCCCATTCCAGTCTTAGCTGGCATTTCCCCATCTCCCTTAAGCAAGCTTGCTTTTCCCAAGGTCCAAGAAGGATATTTACTTCCCCTAAATTCAGCCTTATGAGAGGGTTAGCACTCAAGGAAACAAATTATATACTCAAGTGTTTAAAAACCGTTTATTATGCAAAATGTTAACTTTTATAAAAAGTTTAATATACATTGCATGGTTACAGAAAGTCACCTTCCTGCAAAAAAGGTACAAAAGCTATATACTCTATTATAGAGTTCATAATCAGGGCAACAGAGCCTTTCTTCAAGGAGACCAGAAGACCAGCTCTACTGCTGCCTTGGCAGACTTTGGAGAGCAGCCACTCCCCCCTCCAACCTCCACACTGTGAAAGACAGTCTTTAAAACTTGGGGGTGGGGTGGGGGCTGGGAGACGTTGCCCAGCTGGTGCCCAGAGCTAGCTCTGGCTCTTTAGGCCACCCAAGTTCACAGTCCTTCGTTCCCGGGCGCCAGGTCCAGCCTCGAGGCAGGGGTTTGGGGAAGTCAAGTGGGCAGGGCGAGGTTGGGGCCCATCCATGCCCTCGGGCTTCCGGCCGTAGAGGGTCCCGGGGTCCCAGGCGGAACGGGCGCCAGCACCTGCGTTCTGGGCGGGGGGAGGAAAGAACACCAGGGAGCCATCAGTTTCCGCCGAGCGCGCCGAGGCGGGGGCCGTCCGCAGACTGCCCGGCGCCAGGGAGGAAACTTGGTCTCTACCTCCAGCTGATAACTCCGAGCACCATGCTGCCCCCACCCATTTGGCGCCAAAGGACCACAGGCGGAGCTTGCAGCCACCCCGCCCTCTTGGAATTGACACTAGCTGGGAGAGGGCTGAGGAAGACATAGCTTCCTTTACGATTCCAAACTACAAACAGAACGGTTATTTTATTTACCTGCGCCTACTTTTTTCTCGTGCCTTTGGCCATCGGGGGAGGGCAGGAGCAAAATGCGTTCAAGGTTGAAACGCACATTGGATGGGAACTGGTTCTGTCATTCATTTAATGTAACCACGCTTAAGTCACTGGCCCCTCTCCCGCCTCCTTTTCCCCAAATTGAGGAGGCAGTAATCCCTTAAAAGGCCAACCAATTCCAAAATTTGTCGTTTAAGCACCGCCCCACCTCCACCCCCTGGGGGAAGGCGGGGATACTCACCTGGAGGCGCCAGGACTGCCAGGTCAGTGGCAGAAGCTCCTCTTGTCGTTGGAAATCACAAGTTCCGGAGCGAGCTCGGCTGTCTGAGAGAAGGGAAAGAGGGGAAAGTCATGCTTAGCATTTGGGGGTTTTAGGGGTCCTGGCAGCATCCCGGCTCTGGAGCTCAGCCCCGCCCCAGCTCCCGCGCACGCCCCCACACACCTGGATGGGAAGATGCGGGCCGTCTGGGGGTCCAGGGGCGGGCTCGGCCAGAACCACCTGCAGGTCGAGGATATAGTCGATGACGCGCTGCAGGATTTCCACCTGGCTAAGCTGAGTGCCTCGCGGGACTCCGGGGACCAGTTCCCGCAAGCGCGAGTAGCAGTGGTTCATGTCGTCTAACAGGCTCAGCGGCTCCTCTGCTGCCGGACCCTTGCCGCGACCGCGCGCGATGGCCAGGCTGCGTTCCGACAGGCAGCACACCGCCTCGTAGCAGCCGCGCACCGGGCTCAGCGCCTTCATTCTGAGGAATGAGATTGGAGGTGCCGAAAGGACGAAGAGAGCCAAAGAACCCCAACAGCAGCTGGCAACGCGCGCACGCCAGCCGCGGCCCCACTTATAGAGCCCTCCTCGAAGGCACGCCCCTTTATGCAAAGCGTGCGCCTCGGCCCCGCCTCCGCCAGCCCTGGGCGTTCACAACCCGGTTAAATTGCAAACAGGCTTCCTCCGGCTGGTCTGACGCCGAATACCGCGAAGCCGCGGATTCAAAGAATGAGGAAGCGCTGATACTGGGGAGAGGCAGGCCTCTTGGCCAGCAAGGATTTTAAAAATCACTTAAAACCATTAACTTTAAGAATTTGCCTTTTCCTGGCAGCGCCCCAGATCTTTGAGCTCCCCTGCCCCCTGCCAGTCCACCCACAGCCCAACACTAGTTCGAACCCACAGCTCCTCTGAGGTCATAAATCCCTGAACAGCAAAGAAGCTTTTTTTTTTTTTTTTTAAGCAAAGGATTTTTCAAGGGAAACTTGTAAGGAATTAGTGCCGCCTTGTTCCCCAATTTGCTGTTCGTCTGACCTCCAGACTCACTGGCGTCAGGAATTATCTTGTGACCAGAGGGGAAAAAAATTAATTGCGGTGAAGCTGAGGTTACAATGAAGAAAACAGATTTGGGCTAGGGCTGAGATTGCAGAAGGAGGAGGGGAAGGAGGTTTGAGCAAAGAACACTATTTATTTGAGCAACAGGGGAAAAGAAAAAAAAGAAAGAAAGCAGGCTGAATCCGTGATTTTTGCATGGGGCAAGAAAGGAGCTCCCACGCTCTGGCCCCATGCACTCCATAAGGAGCCAAAGATATGCCAATTGTGTTTTGGAAGTGAGTTTGATTAGAATTTTGGACGGAGTTTTAAATATGGGGCGCCAGACAGGATGATTTCTATATAAATCTTTTTAGGGGTCCCCCACTGAGTCACCCAATCTTTTAACTCTTGCTTTGTGCCCCCCCCACACACTTTCCACACACCTCTGTGTAGAAAACAATAGTTTGGTAATTTCATCACTATTGTCTGTCCCCTTCTGCTTTGGAAGTGTAAGCCACCTGGACTTGATTATTCTTAGCCTTGCTGAAATAGCTCCAGCTCTATCTGAGAGCCCAGGAAAGGGATCAGAGGACAGGGAAGCTAAGCCCTGTATTGCAACAGGACATTGCACTCAGTACTCTTTGCTTGTCTTCTTGTCACTTTCCCAGAACTTTGGGGAATTTGCAGCCTCAAAATGCTGGTTTTCATCTTGGAATCCCAGGTGGGATTCCCCCAATGGTTGCTTCCTAAGTCAATCAGCTGGTAAATATTTATGGAGTCACCTTACATAAAACAGTGGCTCCTGCTCTCAAGAATCTCACAATTTGGGGAGACAAAATTAACACAGGAAACAATTAAGAGTTCTATAGTATGTGGCACTGATTAACAGGACAATGGGAGCTCAGAGCTAAGAGAATCTCAAAATTGTCATGGTAGAAAGGACACTGGACTAGGAATCAACGTCCCAGCCATAGGATCTTGAACAAGCCCAGGTACCCTGGCATTGGTTGCCTTATGAATAATATGGTGAGATGGTGCTAAGTGATTATTTTAAATCCTTTCCAACAATGGAAATCTAAGGCTTTATGAAATTTGGACAGGCAGGTGTAGGGTGGTAAAGGGCCCAGAGAGGGGCTATAAAACATGTCCAAGGTCATGCCAAAGCTAATGGCAGAACCAACCCTGAAGTCCCATTGTTTGCCATCAAACCACAGGGCTCTGTGTCAAGAAAGGGGTCTTCTAAAGATTTCTCCCTAAAATGTTAATGTTTTCAAGTTTCTTATATTCTTTAGCATAAGAAGGAGGAAGAAAATAACCTGTAAGTGCACAAGTCAGTCTATAAATGCTACAGACGTTAAAAGAAGAGAATGCCAGCTATTTGGTCATGGGAAGGGAAAATGGTGGCTCTGCAAGACTCCTGAGTGACCAAATAGAAAACCCTTTCCTTTTCTATCGCACAGACTTCCGTGGTTTGTGCAAAATGGTCAAGCCGGGGCCAGGGTGGGGGTTGGGGGGCTGGAGGTGGTTCTGAAAAATCATGGCCTTCAGGGCCAGGCAGATTTATGTTCAAATCCCTGTTCTTCCCTTTTACTAATGATGTTGAACTAAGTCAACTCTCCTTGCCTCAATTCCCCAGTTTATAAAATGAAGCTAATTAGACCTACCTCATTTATTCAACAAATAATTATCTCATGCCTCTGCTTTGCAAGGCACTTGACATGCTCTCTCCACCAGATCTGTTAGTCTCCTCGGTGCCTGGGGATACAGCATGGGGCCAGGTGTGTGGTAGGTGCTGGGTCCACAGGTCCATACAGGTTCTCTTCTCTCCTTTTCCCTCCTCCGTTACTACCACTGATGCCTCAGGCTCAGGTACGTGTTTGCAAAGCACTTTCACATTTATTATTTCCCAAGATGCTTTCAGGCTGAAATGCTCATGGGCTGTGTGACACAAGGCAGTAGAAGGACTCAGTGAGATTAGCAAGCAGAATTCTCTCTTGGCCACACGAGTAACTTGCAATGTGGCCTTGGACACGTTTTCTTCCTTCCTGGGCTGAATTTTCTGCAAAATGGGGGGTGGAGGCGGGGGAGAAGGGAGCAAAGGACCTCTAGGGGTCTTCTCCAATCTAAGATTCTAATTCTGAAAGAAGCAGGGTATGGTTGGGAACACTGAATAAAGTTTGAACCCGAGAGACTTCTTTTTCCAACAGCGGACTAGAGGGCTAGCTCAGGCCTTTGCAACTAGTTTGGTGGTGGCGGGGCCTCAGCCTCTTATTCCAAATGCCTCTGAACTTTCTGTTCTGTTCTGCTCCTTTTACCAGCTTTTTCCCCCCTCTTGCATTTTTTATTTTTATGAAAGGATGTCATTAAGGCTTTTGTCTGCGCTGTTTTTGTTTCAGAACTTTTCTCACAATCCTATTTTTTGTTGAGGAATCCGCTCCTTTGCCCAGCTGTGGGTCCCGGTCCCACAGCTGTGTTGATCTAAGACTCAGCCCCAGACAGCCTGGCGCCAGGGTGGGACGTCATGCGTTCACACAGGGATGCGTGTCCCAGGCAACCTTTCCTCGGGCAGTCACCGGTCGGCGACTGCCGCCCCCACCAATGAGCGCCCGACACCCGAGAAAGGGGCGGGGTCTGCGCCTCCCCGACCGGCGAGCGGCTCGTGAATTGCAGATGCTGGGAACTTGATAACGTTCCCTGAATTGGGGCCCTTTAAAGTCTTTTTTCCCCCCTCGCTCTTTTAGTTCTTTCTTTTCTTCCTTTTGTTTATTCTTTCTTTCCACCTTCTTCCTTGATCTATATATGTATCTAGTTTTTCTTTGTCATCTCCATCTTCCTTTTTAAACTATCTCCTCCCAGTGTCAGGAATCATTTTGTAAGCATTTCCAGGAACTGAATCTTCCTTTGCCAAAATTGAAAGAAAAAAAAGAAGAAGAAAAGAAAAAAAATTCAGTGTTGTGTTCAGTGTTGTGTTCTCTGATTTTTTTCGAAGAGTTGGCAAAACTATTAAGTTATACTGTTTTGTCTCTAAAATTTTAAAAAGTGATGGGGGGTCTCTGAGCTGTCTCCTTCAAAGCCAAAGTAATGATGATGAGAACTGCAGATGTCTTTTTGCCTGAACTGAGTTTCTATTTGTCTACCTATCTATTTTTTTCCCCAGTTATGTTGTAAAGTTGGAATCAAGGGAACCTCAAAAACTTGCCCAAGGTTACTGGGATGTCAGCTGCAGACCTGGGGCCAGGACTGGGACCTCCCCCTCACTTAGCCCCCTGCCCACTCTGTCCTCTAACTCTCATCAGCATTAGGATGGCCTGCTGTGGTCTCAGAACATCCCCAGAGGCTGCATTTCCTAATAGGTACCTGTTTGCTCCCAAAGTGCCGGTAACTGTGTGCTGAGGATGTTCCAGCCGGGCACATAGAACAGGTTCCTTCTCCCCTCAGGGAGGTTAGACGTCAAAGTGCTGCTTAAGGCTCATGTGACGCAAGGAAAGCACAGGGAATTCAGAATCAAGACCAGCCTCAAATTCCTGTATAGACTGCTGGACCTCACTCTGCCTCAGTTGTCTCCTTTGTAGAATGGGGAGGAAAATAATATCCACTTACACACAGCTGGGAGGATCAAAGGGGAGGAGGGATGGAAAGTGCTGTGGGAACCAATTAGTTATTTTTCTGTGCTATGATGTGATGTACCCCTGGTGGGTGGAATAGGTAGGTGGTGCCAGGTGCATTTAATGGTTCCTGCTGAGACTGTTCTCAGGAATGTGGGTAATACTGAGAAGGGACTGTAGGAAGCATGGGGATCTAAGGCTTGAGTCCTTATAGGGGTGGGGATTTCAGAGGCCTCCAAGATAGGCTATCTTACAGTTAAGAAGTCCTTGGTGCAATCATCATCATTATCATCATCCTTCATTGAATCTTAACTGTTCGCCTTCTCATACATTATCTCATTGATGCATTTTATGGACAAGGAAACTGAGGCTCAGAGAGGTTAATATGCTTGCCCAAGGTCACATAGCCAGTAAGTGGCAGAGCCAAGATTTGTACCCATATCTGCCCGTCTCAAAGCTTTTGTTCTTCTGTGACTATGCTTTTTGTTCTGTTCCTTCAAGGGACCTCTTGGGAAGGTAGCTTGGACCCGAAAGCATTTTATTCTACTGGATAGAGAAAAGCAAGTGTAGGGGGTGCATTTAATAGGAAGACAGACAAGACAGACACTAAGGTGTTAGGGACATTAAGGGAAAACCTTTGTTTTCTAAGCAAAGAGACTCAGGGAACTTTGGAAATTTCTTGGAAAATTGAAGCTTTTTTCATTCCCCCCAAAGCCCTTTCCTGTCCATGTTTTAAGGGACATTTATTCTTTTTTTTAAAGATTTTATTTATTTATTTGACAGAGAGAGACACAGTGAGATTGGGAACACAAGCAGAGGGAGTGGGAGAGGGAGAAACAGGCCCCCTGTGGAGCAGGGAGCCCGATGCTATGTGGGGCTCAAGCCCAGGACCCTGGGATCATGACCCGAGCCAAAGGCAGACACTTAACAAATGACTGAGCCACCCAGGCACCCCTAAGGGACGTTTATTCTTAAAGTGCAGAATGACTACTCCTGTTTTTAAGAGTCAGTTTGGAATTGAGTTTCCTCCCTGTCTTCTTCTTCCAACCCAAATCCAACCTAGTTTGGTCCAGTCATACCACCCTGAAGTTAACTAACCCCTTGCTTCAACAGGTAGCCTGGGATGTCCAGGAGCTGGCTTGGCATCTGGGGTGGAGGGGTGGACACCCACAGGGAAGCAGGTAGGGAGTTTATTTCCTGAGAACC